TTTTTGCTCCATGGCTAAGTGACTATGCTGATTTTGTGAGAAAAAAAATTGTGGGATGAAAAATGTAATTGGTAATTGTGTAATTGATTTTGTAATTGATTACAGAAAAAAAGTAATTGAATTACTCCGAGCGTTACAGCTTGACAAATGTAATTGAAGCGTCACAAAATTACACTTAACTGTAATTGATTACAAGTAATCAATTACTTGTAACGCGTTACGTACAAGTCTGGACCGTGCTCATAACATCACAAAAAAAAAGAGAAGAAATATATCTTTCCCATTAGGGGAAAGATCGAACATGGACAAAAAGAAGAACCCCTGACATTCGTCACACCCGAAGCAAAGGGGGAGGGGTGAAACTTAAAGCTAAGCAAAATCTCCTCTCCGAGATTAACCTTAGCGTTTTGGAATATGCGTCTAGTCTTTCTAAATCAAAGCCGTTTTCCAGGTGTCATCCTCTTACGACGCTATGTAGACGATATCCTAGTCTGCACTATCGATTCTTCACTGTCAGCGTTGGTAGAAAACTTCATCTATGAGAGTTTGCCAGAGCTGCAATTCTCAGTAGAAAGGCCTGTAAATGACTGCCTGCAGTTTTTAGATATACAGCTAAAAACACCCTCCAGTTTGTGTTGGCGGTATGGCAAAACGGAAGTCAAACCGCTCCTGCTTTTCAAAAGTTGTCACTCAAAGAATATCAAGACTTGCATAGTCAGGAACCTAGTAGATAGTGCACTCAGGAAATCTTGTTCGCACTCCATTGGTTCTCCGCTCCAACGCCTTTTTAACCGTTTCAGCGTGGCAGGTTTTCCCGAGGATTATGTGTTCAGACAGTTTTTGTACCGGATTAATATGAGGAACAAATGTTCAAAGGTTCGTGAATCTGCCAGGCGTGTTGTTCTCCCTTTCTTCCATAGTATTTCTCATAATCTAAAATCAGCCAGCAACCGCTACGGCATTAGCACTGTGTTCAGAAATGATTTCAAACTAAGTCGGTTGACCCCATTCAACTCGGCCAAAACTGGATGTACCAAAAAACATAGAGAAAAAAATGTATATTGTTTGTCAGGCGTAGTTTACAAGGTTCCTTTCGCCTGTGGGTTATGTTACATCGGACAAACGAAGCGGTGTTTGAATGATCGTTTAATTGAACAAACGTTGTATTAGAAACAATGATCAGTATTCAGAAATGTCAAAACATCTGTTAGAATGTAATAATTGTGTACCTCTTTGGAATTCCACATCGGTTATGTTGACCAAGAGAGAGGATCATAAACGCTTGATAAAAGAGTCCCTCACTAATATTAGCAACAGAAATGCAGTAAATAGGCCTTCTTTTAATTTAGACACGGAGTTGAAAAGATTTCTACAAATTTTAGTGTTTGGAGGTCACCTTTATATCTGTGTAGGATAATGTTTGTTCGGGTTTAAGTTTCACCCTTGCCCCTTTGTTTCGGGTGTGACGAATGTCAGGGGTTCTTCGTTTTTGTCCATGTTCGATCTTTCCCCTGATGGGAAAGATTTCTCTCGTCTGTTTTTTTTAGATGTTATCAGCATTTCACCGAGGTGGGTTAAGAGATCTCCCCCCCCCCCCCCTTTTGTTTGAGCTAGAACAGTACCGGTTTTTCTGTTTGTCAATGACCTCCCTCTCTTGTGTGTTCGGGAAGAAGAAGTTCATCCTCTCCCTTTTTCATTCCTTTTTGGTTTCCGGGCACCTGTGCCCTATAAAACCACGATCTTATGTCCAATAAACTTAAGCAGTATTTGAGACTTTGTGTTGTGTTGTCATTTTCCCCCCCAGTCTTGGGGTTTTGTCCAAAATGTTATCTGTTCATGTTTCCTAAAAAGAGATTCCTCTAATTCCGTATCTGGGAAAGGCGTTAGACGGACCGGTATTATCGTGGTTGGTAAATGACTTGCTCTTCACGCTGTCCTCGCTGCTGTCAGAGAGGGCGGGCCTTATTCATACATATAGGGTTGTTCCCGTTGAGTATACAAAGAAGGCTCAGAGGATACTAAGGTTTATTGGACTGGCATTTTTAGGACTATTCCACGTGACCCGTGTTTCAAGGTAGAGAAATTGATATCTTCACAGGGCGAATTTGGCTAATGTAGCACAGTTCGGCTAGTTTGCCCTACATCATAAGCCAATTTTACACCCGAGGCTGCATTGGCTTTTGCCACACAAATCTTCATCAATCTGGATCGTTTTCCTTTCTGCAGTGCCGTGAAATGTGTTGGGTCGTTTCATTTAACACAATGTACGTACATTGTCAAATGATATAGCTTAATCAAGGTGCTGCAAAAGGCGAAGCACCTAGATTAATTACGACTTGTGTAACATTACAAGAGGTGAGCTGCTTTGGGTGTGGTAGTCGCTTAGAACGTGTTACAGTTAAGCTCGTGCCCATCTGATCATAACCACGGATACAGAGTTCACTGCCTGGGAGGTTCACTGTCTCACGCCGTCTATATACGTGGAATGGGGCAAACCTGCTCAGCCACAAAGTTTTAATGACCTGAGAAATTGCATCACCTAAGCACTGAAGTCTATATCCGGAGATATGCTTGGCACGTCCGTGCAAACCTGCTTACCATCTTGACATCAGCCTGGGCGACAGCACCGCAGTTCGCATTTTGTATGTATTGTAATAAACTACTTTTATTGTTCAACAAGTGTTCGTTTTACTGTAATGTTTTTATAGAGTTTCACAGACTACCTCACCCTCCGTCATATGGGTACTGCTATCTTGGAATCGTGCAACGGGGGTGCCATTATGTTGCTTCAACTCTTCGCATCACTTAAACTTCCGCGCCTTCGCGAATGTTTTGTATTGCTGGCTTTTGACGGTTCAACACAATTGTTGCCTTGCTCTAAACAATCGTGCAATGATTTTTTTTTGTATTTAACTGCATTTCATGACTCTGTCAAAAGTTTATACAGCTGACGGATAGACATTGTACATACTTTTTCCTCGGTGTGCCAATATTATAGCACTGAATTGGAACCAGCGTTACTAACACCCATGGCGTAGACAGATGACTACCGGGACATATCGATTTAGGAGTGCAGGGTACTCATTGACATGAATTTGGGATCTTGCGTAATATTATATAAATGGTTAAAAATATTTAGCGTGTCGTTTGACTGGTGTGTTCATTCTCTTTTAATTTTAGTCTTAGTTCATTCTATTTCGCTCACTCAGCATTTCGCTCTTCCGAAGTGGGATCTGTTTAAACTTTGGGGTTCCGTCTACATTTTCAAAGTGACATGGAGCTCTGTAGAGTAACCCAAAAAAATCTTTCCTTGCCAAATACTCTACGTAATTTGTGCATATTTTTTTCCTTGTGTGTAGTCACGTAGATACTGTGCTTGCATGGTTAGGTGCTTTCATCTTCGGAACAGGTGAAGACGACTTTGGGATGCAACCATTGGCTAGAAAGTCTTGCTATTTCTGCATAGTTTGTAGAAGTGTGTTATAATATTGGCAACTCAGTGTCCCTTTTTGCAAACGAAAAACATGAAAATGTCCAATCCTCTGCTCCTTCCTTCAACTGGAGTTCGTTTATTGTTGATTTTGTCTAATCATGCATGTATGATGTGTGCAATAAATGTATTTCTTGCGTGATGCTCCTTGTTTATACCTTTCCTTTCACGCTTCCCGGCTGAAGAATCCCCTTAATTTTCGCAAGAAAGTATTCCAGTAATCGTAATGAAAACTTTTGGATGGATGTAAAAAAATACTGTGTGGGCCCATGCATAAACTCTCAAATGGGTGTTCAATAAGGCTCATGTTGGTCCACGTTCTGTCAGCTAGGATATTCCAGGTCATACTTCAGTGTGGATGATAAATAGTAGCACAATGTGGTGTCCCTGGCTGGAAGCACGAAGAGCTGCTTTCTGTATTTGATGAATAATCTTAAATATGGGCTACAATGTTTCATTTACGGGAGTCTGAGGAGCACAATACAAGAGAAAAAAATTTGGCCAAAAGAGCGTGTTTTTTTTTACGTGTCTGATGGCTGCTCGAGGTTCAGCGAGTTCCTCCACCGCCAGGGATGGGCAGTATTTGAAATACAAGTATTTGAAATACGTATTTCATATATTTTGTGTATTTTGCATTTGTATTTCATTATAATTTGGGTATTGTATTTGACGTGTGTATTTAAATACTAAAACGTGGGTATTTCAGATACAATTGTAATTAAATACAATTCTTTGGGCGAAAATACATCCCTCAAATTTATTATCACGACTCAATTTGCTCATCCTAAGACGTGTTGAGAGCAGGAAGAAAACTACGTTCTGCACCGAATGCAGTGTCTCTCAATCAAGCACAACCGTTTAGTGACTTTGTGATTACGGTGCTGGTCCAGGGCAAGAATAGTTACGAAATCGACGTTCACAGGCAGACTGCCTAATTAAGTGCCTGTGACAACTTGTGATGATTTCCAGCCTGATTTCCACCCATACTTTTGCCTGGAACATTCTAAATGCGCGGGTCGTCCAGGTTTTCGTAACTGGTGCGAGTTGCAACAATAAAAAATTATCTAGCTAGTGCTGCGCGTCTTGGTCGTCTCGGTACTTTGTTGGTCTATACCAAAATGTAATCGACAAAAAAAGCTGCTTGAAGCTCTGTACTTTTTTCACCTATTACGTCCAAGCTGATTACATTTTTTTTGTGATTATATATATATTACGTTACTAGAACCTCGCACAGTGACTCCCGAGTGTGCCATGCAAAATTAAAATGAAATACCAAGAAACCCGATGCACGTGCCTTGAAGTCACTGACGCAAATTTTGAGGATTGTATTTGGAAACGTATTTGGAGGAGACCAAATACATTTGGTTGCATTTGTATCTTGTACTTAAATATTTTTGTGGGAAATGTAATTAGATTTGTAATTAAATACATTTTTGACGAAGTATTTTGTATTTGTATTTCGATACATATTTGCATGTATTTTGCCCATCCCTGGCCACCGCCAATGGCGTTTCGTGACACAGTTTTGTTTTTATTGGCAGCAGATGTAATGCAAACCCCCCTAAAGATAAAATGGATGCATTGCAGAACCTTCACTGTCACAGAAGTACGAATCTCTTCGGTGTTTCTCATCAAGAGCAATCTCCATGATTACAGGGATTGTCATTGCTCTTTTCATGTGGTTCTTGGAATATTTGTTCTAACAAATTAGGGGAGGAAAGGGAGAGGAGGGGGGGGTACCTGTGTGGCAAATACGTTTAAATAGTTGCAGTTTGACACAAACTAAGAATGTAATCTTTTATCACTCTTATGACTTCTCCGAAACCAGATAATGGCAATCCAGTTGCAATGTTGCTCAGATGGTATTCTTATACAAGATTTTTCTGGCGAAGTTAGGCACTGGTGACTGAAAACCTTGTTCACACGATTCGATCATTCTAGGATACGTCTGCAAAAGACGCGATGTGAAAATGCATTGGTGATACCTTCCCACATGTTACCATTTTGCAGTCATTTTAAATAAAGCCTGTGTGGAAGGAACAGTGCAGACACTTGTCGCGCCTTCCGCGACTACAGCAGCCAATTTATTCCATGTAAATATTATGCTATTATACCACCCGTGACATCGATCGCCGCACCTGTCAGGAAGCTACTCTTCGGACTGCACATGAACGCGATCGTCTCGGATATTTCGTCGGGACGCGCCTTGCGCTTGAAGGCAGTTGCTGCTATGAAGGCGGAGCTCACTTCCGGCGGTAGCCTTGCAAGCAGGGGGGTGTCGACGGGACCAGGCAGCATGGCGTTGACGCGAATGCCACTGCTGGCCACTTCCAGGGCCACTGCCTTAGTGAGGGACACGACGCCGCCCTTGGACGCTGAATAGGGAGTGTACCGCGGGAAGGCAGTTTTTGCGATAATGCTTGCGATGTTCACGATTGCGCCGTCCGTGACGTTATTGGCCAGCATGTGCTTCACTGACGCGCGGTCGATCAGGAAGGTGCCCTGCGGGAAATAAAGCATGCATCAGAATGAGCGCGTGGGTGAACTAGACCCAACAAATAAACAAAGCTAAGAGTATGGACACCATTCCCCGATTGAGTTGTGGAAGCCTTCACTCTTTTGATGAGTCGACAGGGGGAGTAATCGGGCGATAGTTGCAATTCGGAAATGCGACTTCCTGAGCTCTGTGTAAGCTGTGAGGGATCTCAGGCAATATTGGACTGCTCTTCCACGAACCATTTGGATAAAATAAAACTTTGATTGGGCCTAGTTGGTTCACATCGATTAAAAGGTTAAAAGGCGCGAACTGAACATGACGAAAAAGACACACGTACAACACGGACAAGCGCCAACTTCAAACTGAACAGCTTCCAACATCTGGATAATTCCGGATCATAAAAATGATTTCCTCAGTCCTGCTATTCCGATGAAATTTAAAAAAATGCAACATTAACTTAAGCAGCGTGATGGCACAAGTGTCTTTATACTTAAGCGTATCCTATTTAGATTCCCAAGGCAAAACAGATAACATAAAAGAAGCGAGGGGTACTAAGACTTTCACATGAATATATGAGGGTCCTTCGACGATCCCTTAAGCGTATGCAAAACAAATGAGTTCCGTTATGGCCAGAGGTTGTACCTATGGGACTTCTCTGGTACTCTCCTTCGTGAGTTTAAAGAGTGATTTAAACACCGGTATCCTCGGCCTACTGCGTGTATTACAGGGCGAGAATTGGTTAGTTGTAAAAGAGGATATTCGAGCGCCAGAATAGCAGTTGCGCTAAGACAATAAAGCTATTTCATGTCAAAGTCGATAACAGCCTACGTTTGCTTTGCAAAAGAAACCAAAGCGTGCTGACATAACTCGAGGAAAAAGTTATATAATTTGTTCACTGAAAATAACTGCATAACAAATAAAGATACTTAAAACACATGATGGTATCTAGGTTTCATTAACATCTTGTTCACTATGGAGGTGTCCTCGACATTTTGTTCTGCCAGTACTTAGGCGTCCTTTGTTAATACTCGGGATTTTGATGAGATTGCTGTTTAGCAGATCGCCTGCCTAAACTCTTTTTTTAATGTATATGTATGCCGTGGAACGACAAAGAAATACTCATTTCGAGCTGCTTGCAGCACGGTTAGTTCATCTGGTTGGACGTACCCTTAGGTTCGTGGCGAGCGTGTCGTCAAATTGGGTGTCGTTCATGTCCTGAATCGGCGCTGCAGCTTCCACGATGCCGGCACTGTTCACCACGACGCTGATCTTTCTTCCCGGAAAATAAGTGGCAATCTCTTCGAAGAGAACATCGACGGCCGTAGAGTTGGAAACGTCAACGTATATGACGCGGTGATCGCCCGGGTACGAGCCTGTGAAAGGAACGACAGAGGAAAAATTCAGTTGGGTACAAAATGATCGCTTATCATTAACACTCGAGGCACCAAATATAGGTGCGCCAAGAGTATCGGCTCTCTATTCCCTGATATTCATGTGAGCGCCGTCAGTTTGCTGTTCAGTGCAGATCGGGCGCGATTGGCGTTCGCTGAAAGTCGAAAATGCGAGCTTTATCTAAAGTATAAAAAAGCTCGGGTGACTTTGCCTTGCTTTGTTGTTTGGCGATCTCTTCTAATATTATAAAAAAACCGACAAGAATTTCTGCGATTCCTGATATTTCTTTAATAACAGGCAACCATGATTTTAAGCACAAAGATGGCCTGATGTGTTTTAATCTTATGCATAGAAAATTTAGTGTCTCTAGTCGGAACGAAAAGCATAAACTTATGTTGTTTGAAAAAACAGTGAGTGTGCAGGCGAGCTGGTGGATATTGATCATGATGTAGAAAACCCGAGACTGTTTGAGACGTACTTTTCCCCTGGCTTTCTTCTTCGACCAAGTTTCTCTACTTTTACCACAGTCTCGGGTTTGCTACACCATGATTATATTGTTTAACTGCGAAGAGTCCACTTCTATACACTCATGGAACGTTAGAACTTGTAACATTGTTTATTTCCATCAGGAGCCATGGAGGGTACCGAGGAAAAGAAGCTTCTACCATTCTACGTTCTAAAGACTAGCAACGACAACATGGCGCTAAAACGAAATATCACTTATCACAATAAAAAAAAAAGATATATAGACGATGTTCACTTTTATACAATGTTAGGTATGGCAGTTTTGTTTAATTAAGTGACTTCCGTTTCCAGGGGTGCTAGACGATTTTATAGTTCGGGCAGTCTATAGTTAACTCTGACAACCAAAGTTAGTAAGCGTTATATATTTTATGCATGTGGCGAGTTTTATGTACTCAATTATGCAAATGATGGTCAGTGTGGTTTAGAGAAGTTTCGAATTTATCTCATATGACCGACTAATTCGGTAACTGTAACTAGGTTGTCTCCACATACGCCCATCGTTAACTTTAGCAAGTTTGCTGGTCTTATTTATACAGGAAAAAAAATTACGCCTTGAAATTTCGCTAGGTGCGCCACCTCTATTCACACTCAGTGAATGTTCGCGCTTTCTATGTACACGCGCCTATTTTTAGAGCGGAACTCTCAGGCGCCCGCCTCCGCGTTGCGCAGCGTCGGCGTAACCTCCCTGCTAAATTTAGCGGGAAATTGAATTGGTGTTGAGGTCACGTGACTTTAATTTTCCCGCTAAATCTAGTGGAGACACTAAATATTTCACGTGTGACGTGGCACGAAGTCATGTGACGTGAATTTCCAGCTGAATTTAGCGGTTAAATTGTGGGGGGAGGGGAGTGTCTGGGGAGGAGGAGGGAAGGGTACGGAGGAGAGGATAATGGAAGAGGAGGAGGAGGAGAAAAAGGAGGAGGAGGAGAAGGGGAGAAGGCGGAGAGGAGGGGAGAAGGAGCGGAGAGGAGGAGGACAGGAGAGTAGGAGTGGAGCGGAGGGGGAGGAGGAAGGGGAGAAAAGAGGTTGTGGAGAAGGACTAGTGGAGGAGGACTAGGGGAGGAGGACGGGAGGGGAAGGAAAGAAGGAGGGAAGGGTATGGAGGAGGAGGAGTGGCATACCCTTCCCTCTTCCTCCTCACGAGCTCTGTTCTAATTTCGCTTCACAGAGATTTGTAGACAACTCTTTTTTTCGGCTTGTTTTACAGCAGAAAAATAAAAATTACGATGATTTAAAGCAACATTTAGATCATGATTTTAATCGTGATTAAAATCAGGCCGGTGTTTTTTGACGATTTAAATCAAAAACTTTCACACAAGAATAATTTTTAAAAATAATTATATTTACCGTTTTTATGCTTCTTGTTTCTTTCTATGTAAATGCGTTCTCTCAAGCAAGAAAAAATTATATCAGACTGAGCACGAGCACAAAGCAGAGGTCTTCTTAGAACAACGAAACGCTGTGCTTTCTTTCTACTCTCCATTCCGTTTTTCAGTTACGTAACTTCTTATTAAATGTAAATAAGAAATTGACGGTAAAAGGACGAGAGCTGGGTCAGTAATATTTTATTGCAAAAAAGTCACAACGCGAAAGCAAAAGGAAATAAAGTTTATTTACTAACTAAAACACAAAAGTTACCCTTTCTGTACTACCGCAAGGTTTAAATAATAAACAAGTTGTTAATTGATCCCCACTTTGAATTTAGAGTAAATCTTTTTTTCCCGCATTGCTTTTAGTAATTGGAGGAATCCATCAATCAGTCTGCCATATTGTAAAATGTATATATTGATTAGGAAACCCTATTTATTTACCAATAAATTAAGTAAAATGGTTCTCATTTAAATCTTATAATTATAATCTAAATGAAACAACTCTGACTTGAATCAAATAATTTTTGTTCATTCATGATTTTGTTTCGCATTGATTTACAGTGCGAGATCGACTGTACAGGCGTCAACTCTTTCTGCTCGTTTTAATGGGTAAGATCAACTGGGCGCACTCTATAGTTTTCTTTGGTCCTAACTATGTTACAAAACACCGTGTCTCGTTTTTTTTTTTTTTTTTTTTTGGTGTGCCACGTAAGAGCCAAAGTTCCAGGAATGGGACAAAGATGCCGCTTTAAACTGAACATCCAGCAGTGGAGACTAATTTTGTCATTTGGTTGCGTACTCAGTCCCACAGACATCAGACGACGTCCAAACCACCGGGCATTGATCTTGAACTCTGGCACTTGTTTGGAAATTTAGGGCCAAAATTTTCAGACTCTGGCTAAGAAATATCAAGTTTGGTTATCCGTTGGATTTTGTGAACACTCATGGCCTTAAATTACGAGACAACAACCACATTTCGTCATAAATATTTGTGCTACTTACAATAGGTAGCCGCGTTTTGCTTACCTCAATCATAAGGTAACAATAAGATATAAAGAAATTCAAGAACAAAATTGTGTTGCATCAACCTTTAGAAAGCAGAATGCTTGTCCATCTGCTGTCGATGGAAAATTCGATAGTTGCAGTACGGCTGCTAACCTGGAGGGTTTAACGTACATGATGCCGTGGTGATACAGGACCGCACGCCGGTTCGATTTTCATCCAGATCAAAACGAACAGGTACTGTTATTGAACTAGCGATTTTTGCGTACTGTGCATTAACGTAAGGGGTTGTGTTGGGACCGGAGCGACCCGGCAATCAGAGCACAAAAGCTTGTGTGCGTAGAGAACCCACGCAACGCAGCGCTCAATATACCATGAGTATCCCTACAAGGTAAGCAGAAAAGTGTTTTATGCGTCCACAGCGCTGTTGCGCTGTTTATTGTACTGTCAGTGCACTAGGACATCGCCGTACCCTCATGGTGAGCTGCAATCAAATTTATTGTACTGTGCGTTCCCTTAGATTAAGTTTTGAATGTGGAGCGTTGCGGCACTTATGACCATGGTCAACGCATAAGTGAAGAATCGAATTAGCGCCAGCAAAACTACGACAAACCAGGTGCCGTGTGCCCCGCCTGCCCCGCACCCCAACGATCCACAAACACGTGAAGGTTGAGCTTAGAGCGTTGCTTTTCGGCATTCCAAACGACACTGGCGCAAGAGACGTGTGGGAAAAGAACTCAAAACATTTATACAGATGCCATTAAGAAACGAGCATCGTTTCCGCGCACGCGCACACCCCACCGGTAAATTAACAATACGACACCTGTCACTGAATGGAAAGTGCCGAATAAACAAGGACAAGGAAGGGAACAGAGACCTTGTTGATTCGGCGCTTTCTATTCAGTGATGTACCAACTAGCCCATTTATCTATTCTGAGACACCTGTCACCACGAGCCTTGCGCCACTGATCCGGTCTCAGCACTACGCCGTATTCAAGCACTCTCTATCCCAATTTGAGCAGTCCAAGCTTCCGCTTTGCGTGCTCTGAGCTGCGGTGCACAAACACACGCGGACAGCGATCATCCTTCCTGGGTGTCCAATTTACACTTTGAAAATTAGGGCGCTACACCTATCGTGCAATACCAAAATCTTCAGCACTTTAGGCGCGTGCCTGTAAAAACAGCCGAAAAACGACTCTCCGGGAAAAATACAATCGGTCAGCAATTGACAAGAGTGTTGGTCGTCTTCCTAAAATGTTTTAATGTCCACGACGCCGGCCTAAGGAGACATTAAGCTTTACATCACTCACGCGTATGCCAAACTCAATGTTCAAGCGCCGATCCAGTTTTTCGGGCCAACCGTTTTTTGTACGTTGTCTTCGCGTCGACCTCTCGCAACCAATCTCAATGATTTACCCATTGAGTGCAAGCGTGTGAAGGCAGATGGATTGCAATATAGTAGCAGCGCGAGAATAGAAAATTACCTTCGAAGCAATGATTGTCCGCCAGGTTGATGCAACCGCGATTTAGGAGAGAACACATGCAATCCCCAGGTGTGCTCTCAGTGCGCGTTACTTTGTGTAATTATGTTTTAACAGTTTTTTACACTGTACCAACTTGGTCACATCAAAAACGCATCTTTTTGGCATTGAGTAATACTTTGATGATTTCAGGGGTCACTTGCTTTCATGATTAAAGTTACCATTTTAATTGCGAGAGTGTGTTCCTGCTCACGAGTTATAATTATGGAACAGAATTTGCGAACGAATAAGGTCCGCAATCTTATCTCAAAATTAAACCTTTCCATGATGTCATTAACTTTCGTCACAAGTGCAGAACTCGTTGATTGTCTTAACAAATGTAACAGGCTTAAACTGAGCTAGTTGGTTTCTACTTCAGGTAAGGCCAGCTGAACAAGAACAGGTGCGTATGATATTTTCTTTATGTGCATATTTACTCTAGTTCAGCAAGCCCTACCTGAAGTCTCAACAAAACTCTTGATATAATTTAGGATGAGAACTGCTCGCATTACATATTTGCCTACTCGGAAATAAAACGCACTCTTATCAGTCGTTTTAATACGCTTTTCTCGCTGATTCGTCTCCACCACTATAGGCAACAAGAATACGCTGCAAGAAAACGAATACGAAAGCTCACAGATTAGCTCTCAGGAATATGTAGTGACGCAAAGCATTTCCAACAGATGTCGGAACATTTTTGTTTTGTTTTTTCTCGGGTGCAATCGATATGCCTAACTGGACGTATACACAGCTTAACTTCCGACAATTGGTTATTGTGATGCTAAAAACATAGTTTAGATTTAAGAGACAACATAAGCTCATTTCGGTTTTCCGTAAGGTGGGCGTTTAAAAATTATTTGCCGTAAACTCATTTAGTAAAGATAGTGGTGAGTGATCCGACCGACCTTGTAGCATCTGTAGAGTTTCATCGGAGCCCGTTCTGTTCCTGTCTGCCACAATGACGGTGGCGCCCTCTCGAGCGAGTACCATGCAGACGCTCCTGCCGATCCCACTGGCGCCCCCCGTGACGACACCCAGGCGGCCGGAAAGTCCCAGAGATTGGCACTCGGCCTGGCTGGGTGACCCATCAGGCTCATTTTTGTCGCCTTTGTTCGCGTGGGCTTCGCTGTTGTCCATGGAGAACACCGTAACTGAAAGAGCAAGTAAACATTAAAAGGTTAAAAAAATGGCGTTTTGTTTGAGGTTAGTGGTTATGCTTGCAGACCGGGTAATTGCAACCAATACGCTCACTTTCAAATGAGACATATTATGATCGTTTAGTCGTTATTCTAGTCTGGAACGGTCTAGTTTATGTCTCTCAACTGATGCGGAATTACGCAACAGTGATTCCTGACCGACAGCTAACCAGGGAGCGAGAAATTATTATTTTGACCACGATGCTGGACAGCTATGTTGTAGGACCGTAACAACGACCGACGTTTGCCAACGAAGTCATTAACCTTTATATCCAGTTCCCATCTCATCCGCGCTCCTTTTCTTTCAGAGTGAGAAACTTATTTGAACCTTAGTTGAAGGGTAAATATTAGGGACATGGCTAAATTGAACATTCTTGTTTGCAGGGTGCATGTATCCCTAAATCGTATTAATGCCCCCGCGCGACAGCGTATCGGAACCATCGTTAGAGACTTACCAATTGCCAGAAAGGCCACAAAAATTGTCATGTTCTCGACCATCATGGTGAAGCCCTATCTGAAAGCTGCTAAAATGAGTCGGAGCTAAGACCACATATGTCAGTATTAATATAGAAAAAAGCCTAGCGGCCACGTGTGTGTGCCACATCCGGGTCGCGGGCTGTTACGACTGGATGGTGCAGCGAGAAGAATTGACGTTTGATTTATCACTAAGCCAAACACTAACTTTGAAAATAACAGCCACATGCTCTTATTACAGTCGACTAACATCCAGTTTAAGATAGACACGTGTGTTGGGGTTATTGCACACGACACGTGTGGCGGTGATGTTCCTGCCGATGTATGTCACCCGGAAGGTCACCAGATGGCTCACCTGCATACCTCTTCTGCAGCAAGATCGAGGACATATCATGAAATAAGTATATTGTGTTAATACATGTGGACATCCACGGGATAAAAAATACTCTTGGAAACAAAGTGCCCTAATGGAGGTCTCGCATGCATTTGGAAAGCCTTCATATGTATCCCAATGGCTTTAGCTGCGGACCAAATATAGTGACGCTGCGAATGCACACTACTGTTTTCTTCGTGTCACTGTCGCACCATAAATATCTATTCAATGTTTTTTTGTTGTATGTCCGGACTATTCCATATAATAAAAGAGAAAGAAGCTATACCTTAAGAAAAAACACGAAACTCGCCAAAAAAACTTGATATCTGCTCGTGGCGATATTGTCTCGTGAATTTATTATTATTTAAACAATTTATCGTCATAGCATTCAAAACCCCGACTTAATTTTTTTTTTCACAGTTAGCTTATCATACAAACAAAGGGACTAAGTGATTATCTTCGTACGCTAACTTATCCAAACACAGCTGCACTCCACCGGAAATACCGAATTGTAGAATTTACACCCATTTTGGTATCGATCGTCGAACCGTGATTGTAAATGTGATCCGTTTCGCCGGCGTGTTTCCATCAACTGTAGCAGATATCCTGTGTAGTAAAGCGGACGGTTGCCGGCACATGTCAGTAAAGTATACAATTAATCACATGTTGGGATACATATGGCGCAAAACTCAAAATGTCGCAATTTGGACCACTTGTCATTTGGCGCCAACTTGTACTAAAAATGTACACTTCTCTTGCAGCCACAGCTATGCAGATATAATACACACAAAAAAAAATTAGAATACAAATATTGAGATACAAATATTTTAAGGCTAAATTACAAATACTGCGATACATTTGTTTTTTAGGTAACGGGATATACGTCACAAGTAACTGCTTTACCGGTAAAGGTAAAACAGTAATTGGTAACGTAATTAAGTTACTTAGTTCGAGCAACGTGTAACGTAGTTACTTTTTCTTCAAATAATAAAAAAATTACACTTTAATAATTTGTTTTCATAAGCGTCAATCCATGTGAATTTTGGAGTTCTTTTCATTTTGCTGGTGAGTATTTAGGTGAAACCGTAATAAAGATAAATTATGTTCAGCTTCTGAATGCACATAACGCTTGTCGAAATATGCCGCTCATGCATACCTGTAACATCAAAAGTGTAAATTGTTTATTGTGTTTTTTATAATATAAAAAGTAACGCAAAAGTAACATGGGTTACTTTTTATCGGTACCGGTAACGGTGAGGCATCACTTTTATTCTAAGGTAACGTAGGACGGTAACGCATTACTTTTATTTGCGAGTAACGAGTAAAGGCCCGTTCACACATTTGCGTATAGACTCAGCGACCACTATGCTTACGAACGAAGGCAACCGCTGCGACTTCAACGACAACTCTGCGCGACCTGTACACGCACATGCAGTCACATGCAACCACACGAATCAACAGCCAATGAGAAACGAGCTCAAGCTCTTGACCCTAGCCAATAGTATGAGCAACCCAGCTACGCTTACCAACATGGCGGACGGTTTCGTGCCCGACGCGAGGTCCTCACCGGAGCAGCCGGAGGTTTCGGCTACGGCGTACAGTCACGAAGATCTGCTGTGCGCCTTTAATAGCTATGTAAAGGCTGGTTCAGACGTCTGAAACGAACCCGTTATCCACGACTCCGTCCGTTGTGACCGGAACGACCGCTCTGCGCCGCGCGTACACTCCTGCAACCTCTGCAACAAGCGCAGCGGGTCGGCAGAAGGGCGACTGCCTCTCCGCCGCCGTCAGCTGCTTCAGCGGCACCTCTAAAAAGAAGGGGACGCGCTTCCACTCCCTTGCGTAACAAAAAAATAGACAGACCGTCTTCTATGACCTCAAGCCTTATTTCTTTTTTTTTTTTCAAGATACGCTTGCAAAGTATCGCATTAAAAAAAAAAAAAAAGAAAAGAATGCTGGACGCCGTGTTGCACGATCACGACTTTAATACACGACTTTGGCAACAGTACAAATGGCACCACACCCCTTTTCTACGATCATAAAAGATAATGTAATCTTAGCAGCGATACAGCAACGTATATATATATATATATATATATTCGTGATCAGATAGACGTTGCGAGCGTTCAGGATTGCTAACACTAATCACCTTCCTCGGGTTATGAAAACGCGTGAAAATTCGCATCCTTTATACGGTACGCACCAGTAATACCTTGAACTTGAGCACTTGCATGGAATGCGCCAAAGAAGAAACCCGGGCGATGTTCGAGGACACAAATGCTAAGAAAGCACCACAGTAGTCGAAGTAAACAAACACGGGGGCACGGGCGTTTCTGCTGTCTTGAGAGTGCCGCCACTAGATCACCGCACGGGTAGGTGGATCTTCCCTTCTAGTGCGTTCTGGGTTATCATAACGACACACATCAAAAATTCACAGTCAAGGATAGCGCTCTTACGGGGAACGATGAGCTTCCACCACACCGTCTACGTTGACGATCACCACCGACGCTATGCTGCAGATAGGAGGAGCCCGGCACGACCGGCATGCAAGGCGCGCGACCGAGCCCTCCTCGACCTGTGATTAGTCTGTCGTTGCGGTCGTTCCCGAACGTAGCGAAAAAGTTCAGCCCGGTTCAACTCCTTGCGTTGCGAACGAACACGAACGAAACGACCGTTTGGCGCTTCGTTGCTACGGTAACTCGTCGTTCCAACCGGTTGCATTCGTTCGCAAGTGTAGTGGTAGCTCCGATCGCAACTGTGTGAACGGGCCTGAGTAACGTATTTACTTAATTTGTTTTGCGTGACGCCTACAACACTATATATTCCTAAATTGCTTCTGAAAAAAATTAAAAAAAAGTATCGCGAAATATAGTTACAGATACAAACGGAGATCGTTTTCCCCCGAAAGGTGGTGCGCGAAAAGGGTGCGCCTCGAAGCGATCGCATGTGGTTGTGTTTGTCTTTTTATGTATGTTTATTCATCTCTTTTTATCTTGAACTCGTCGTCTACTCCCAACTATACCAACAAAAATTCCGATGAGAAAAACGAATCCTGCTTTACAAAAGGCGTCTGCTCGAAATGAACCCTGTTTTTTCGTGAGGGCGCATCTAAAAGTGCTTAGTCATTCAGGGTAGAAAGACGGGACGACGATGTCGAACCTGTCTGCACGGAACTTGTTGCAATATAAGAAAGAACCCCACAAATTGTCTACTACATAAGCTTGGTGGTTTCCTCCTCCCCACTGGCATCCTTTCCAGCGCTCGCCCTGCTAACGCGAAGGAGTGGAAGGCTCTGCGGTAGGAGATCATCCCGGTATCCTTGCAATGACCTTTCTTCGAACCACCTTTTTTTCCTCATTTTAATAACTTCATCTGCGTTATTAATTCCAGGTAACAAGGCTACACCCCTGTAGAGTAAGTAGTCCGGCCGGTTCAGACTATAAAATGTTTGGCCATTTGCACGCTAAAGGTGGTTTTGAGTTTATCGTAAAAACATGGGAGTAATAGACAGTTTCAGTGAACCGTACGCTAAAGCATTGCGTAAGAAAATAAACTGAGTGTCGGGACTGCGCTTGAGCAGAGCGCAATAGAAGGGCCAGCGTATTCTGTACGAACGCAACGCTGTCGATTTTGTGCTGCGGGCTAGCGAGCTTTGCGGAAAGCTCTCGAGAGATCTTGAGCTCAGCGAGAGCACCAGTTTCAAGATGGCGGTTACCTCGGCTAGCGTAGCATCGGCGACGTGGTGTTCGCTAAGTTCGGTGTTATGTGAAATTACGTGGTGTTCGGCTCGACAAATCTTTTCGAGACCTGCAGCATTCGAGCCAGATCGCCGTGCAGCTGAAGGAGTGAATAGTGGATATGTTCACACCCACAGCTTGCAATGTTCGTAAACGTTACGATCTGTTCAACGCTAACCACTACGAGTAGTTCATCACCGACGGACGAAAGACTCTTCAAAAAATCGCCCAAGTTGTCGCCATGCACTGATATCAGTAGGTTAAAGATCTCTTCACGCGATTGCATTAATAAATAGTATTGATAATGGGTAATTGACACGGGACGATTCACGGAAGCTTCGTGACTAAATTTGTCTACGGATTCGTGCTCGCAGCCTCCCTACCCCGCAGAAACGAATCCCGGAGAAAAGCTCACCGGAGAAAAGCTCACCGGAGAAAAGCTCACCGAAGATAAGCTCACCGGAGAAAAGCTCACCGCAAAACCGGCGGATGTGGAGAAAAGCTCACCGATTTTTTCTTCTTTTTATTTTGAGGCTGGTGGATCATGCGTAACATATATAAATTTATTTTCATTAAAATTTGTGAGCTTTGTAAAAGAGAAAATGTCATTTTTTGCATTATTTGTAAGCTTATTAGTTATATTGCTCCCAAATTAATAATTGCGGGCGAATGTTTTCTTTGGCTTACTCTCTAGGGCAACGAAAGCCTAAGTGAAAACTTTATGAACTTGACGAAGAGGAAAAAGTTCGAAAATTTAATAATGTCTGCCTAAAACCTAAAAATGAAAACTGCGAATGCCGAAAATTCGAAAGTGCATGCGCAACAACGCGGTGCCTGAAATTCTCTTTGAAGCTTTTGTTAATCTTTAAAAACGGGATGAAACAGTCAGTAGGATATCAAGGCTTCTTTCTTCCACG